TTAGACCAATCAATAAGTAATCTTTGTAAGTGCCACCTACTAAGACCAAAGTTTTACGTCACAGGACATTTTCTTGTGCAAATGTTTTTTCCAGACAGATTGGACAGATATTTGTTCCAGAAAACACTCCCTCCATTGCATGGTGTCAGTGAAATCCACTTTTCAACATGCTGTCTGTCAGATGTGTCCAAGTGTCTGCATCGTGGAGTCATCGTGGTTCTGCTTCCTATCATGTGTGGAAGAACATGGCCTGGATTGTGGTTCTTGTCGAGAGGGGTGGTGAGGGTTGCAGACACATTCAGAGTGACAGAAAACTCTCCACAAGACGTATATGACAAGAGGGATGACTTCAACTTTCAAACAGTCAACTTTTCCTTTATGTCGAGCAATATTGACGAGTGACAGAAAACTCTCCACAAAATGTATATGACAAGAGGGATGACTTCAACTTTCAAACAGTCAACTTTTCCTTTATGTCGAGCAACATTGACGAGTGACAGAAAACTCTCCACAAGACGTATATGACAAGAGGGATGACTTCAACTTTCAAACAGTCAACTTTTCCTTTATGTCGAGCAACATTGACGAGTGACAGAAAACTCTCCACAAGACATATATGACAAGAGGGATGACTTCAACTTTCAAACAGTCAACTTTTCCTTTATGTCGAGCAATATTGACGAGTGACAGAAAACTCTCCACAAGACGTATATGACAAGAGGGATGACTTCAACTTTCAAACAGTCAACTTTTCCTTTATGTCGAGCAATATTGACGAGTGACAGAAAACTCTCCACAAGACGTATATGACAAGAGGGATGACTTCAACTTTCAAACAGTCAACTTTTCCTTTATGTCGAGCAATATTGACCAGCAACTCCTTCCTTTGGTGTGTGCATTTCACAACTTTGGCAGTACGATGAAGCATACTCTGCAAAGATTTCAAAGAGCATCATACGACTCTTGCTGAAAAGTTGTTAATTCAAGGCTACAACATTCAAGGCCTTAGTAAAGCTTTCTAAAAATAATTGTGTAGGCATCAGTGACAAAAATGATGTCCGATGCAATTACCTATTTTAACTTTACCTTATGTTGCCATGTTTTAGGTGAACAGTTGACTTGCCTTTGCATGTGTTTGTGATGGCCACCATCAGTTGTGCAGGATAGACAAATCTTTTTGTGAACACCTGTTATCATCACTATCTAATAGTGATTTTTATCATCCAAAACTGGCTCCACAGGAGATATCGCTTGGGTGAGATCAATGGTCTTCAAAGCATTGTGATGCAATTACAAGAATATTAGCTATGATTTAATAGAGGTAGTATTCTTAGAATTACACACAACGATAAACTATTGTTTGATTTCTGGTATCTGGAGTATCGCAGTTCGACATCCAATCACTGTTGAATCTGCTGGTCTTTGCAATGGCATCGTGTCGTGACTGATCTGACAGAAATTGTTCAGGAAGCAGCTTATACAAGCTATCATAAACCAAATCATCTTATCATTTATGGTTGTAAGTTTCTTGCTCTGCTGAGCAGTGGTAATGACCTCCATTGAGTGATTTTATTAACGCGGTTGGGGTTGACAACTTCTCAGCATTGCGTGATTGTCGGAGTCTCGTGATTCTCTTATGAATCTCTTTTCTTGGGGAATTGGAAACTTGATTTCACAGTTTTGTGGCTTTCTTCAGCTTCTGGAGTACATAGTCATCGTTAGTTATGCTAAGTCTGTAACAAGATTGCAGTGGTAATCTTCATGGATGGAACCCATATGTGAAATCGGTTTCCATGGCAATTTATCCATTTTGTTGAATTTTGTGGCATCTTCCCGCTGCTGTTTCTTATGGGTGTCTTCAAGTGCAACAAATGGGCTATTTGTGTGCTGTTTTGAACTTGCTATAATCTTTCGGTCAAATACAGACATGTTAACAAACCTAATACCCCATTACCATCAACAGCTGTTATTGGCAGAATAGTGAATGTTGGTGAATTTTGTTAATTGGTTGGTTGGTTTGTTGTTTAACGCCGCACTCAGCAATATTCCAGCTATATGACGGCGGTCTGTAAATAATCGACTCTGGACCAGACAATCCAGTGATTGCTATCATGAGAATCGATCCACGCATTTGGGATACGATGACATGCATCAACCAAGTCAGCGAGCCTGACCACCCTATCCCGTTAGTCGCCTCTGACAACAAGCATATTTGCCTTTTACGGTAAGCATGGGTTGCTGAAGACCTATTCTACCCCGGATCTTTATGGGTTGAGTTGGGTTAATATTCCAGTATTTCAGTTATGTCATGGCACAGCTCCTTATAGCTGCAGGAGGAAAGCACAATGACACACAGTTCATTGATGTTTATTGGTTCTGTGAAATTCACAAGTACCGGATTGGATAGATCAGACCAAGGATCATAATCAGAATGAATCTGGGACAACTGCCTCCTGTCCTGGCTAAGGGAGGCAACTGTGACAAACATGAATAATAAGTACATGAAGATGACGCTCTGTAATAAGGGGTGTTGTTGTTAAGACTGCAAATGAAAATTCATTTGCCCTATCGATATCAAATCATGCATATCTTGCAATTGAAATGTTAGAGTTATCTGCCCTTATATTTGAGTTACGTGCCCTTGACAAGTTCCTGTTTCGTGGTGTTCTTTTTACTATCGCTGCCAGCAGACAAAGCTCTTCACAGTGCTGGGCACTTTGCAACCATTCATGAAGTTGATCTTGTTTGTTTGTTGTTTAACACTGCACTCAGCAATATTCCAGCTGTAAGACGGCAGTCTGTAAATAATCAAGTCTGAACCAGACAATCTAGTGATTGACATCATGAGCAGCGATCCACGCAATTGGAATATGATAACATGCATCAACCAAGTAAGTGAGCCTGACCACCTGATCCCATTAATTGCCTCTTACGACAAGCATAGCCATCTTTTACAGAAAGAATGCATTGCTAAAGGCCTATTCTAACCCAGATCTTTACAGGTCAAGTTGATCAGCAATTGACTAACGGACTGACAGTGATGATTGTCATGGCGCTGAATACTCTTCCTCAAGCTAGATTACTTAGGTGTTTGTCAATTTGAGTTTCTATTTCATTTAAACTATCATGTACTTAGTCTAGAGAGAGAATGTGAGTGGGAAGTTAGGTGCTTTTCCATTTATCTGCAATCACGAACCAATCTAATTATATAAACAAACATAGAACCCTCTGGGAAACAGTAAATTAGCCGAAGAAATATCCAATTCACTTATAATGGTATTCCAAAAGAAATACACCAAATATAAAATGTCACTACATTTGGGATTTGAGGGAAATTTTTCAAGATTCTTATGATGGCCGCTTGCACATTGGTAGCAGCTTTAATACTTGGAGGGTTTCTTGAAGGTGTCACATGCTACGGTTGGTTGGTTTGTTGTTTAACGCCGCACTCAGCAATATTCTAGCTACTCAATAATCGGGTCTGGACCAGACAATCCAGTGATTAATATCATGAGCATCTATCCATGCAATTGGAATCAATGACATGCATCAGCCAAGTCAGCGAGCCTGACCACCCGATCCTGTTAGTCGCCTCTTACGACATGCATAGTCGCCTTTTATGGCAAGCATGGGATGCCTATCAGGAGACCTATTCTAGCCCGGATCTTCACCGGTCTCACAGGCTTAGGAGGAAGGAAGGAAACTAAGGAATTGAGTTAACGGCAATGGCTTTGTGTGATGAGAGTTATCTGTCTTTGATGTATGTGATTAGAGTTATCTCCCTTTGTATGCAATGAGAGTTACCTGCTCTTGTTATGTGAACTGAGTTAGCTAATTTTGTGAGATGAGTTATCTGCCATTGACGTATGTGATGAGAGTTCTCTGCCCTTCCTGTACATCATAATAGTTATCTGCCCCTGTTTGATGCTATGAGAGTTTAAGTTTCCCTTGCTGTGTGCTACAAACTAGACATTTAAGGTAATTTACCTGTATTGGTGTGAATTGTACTTCAGTTGGTGTTTCCAAACCATATTCTGCACATTGAGAGCTGTGGACATAGCACTGCGGCATACAGTCATCCCACTTTATTATGTCTCCAGCATACATTGGGAGACCTTGGACGGCAAAGTTGCATAAAACGTTGTAATTTTCTGTGCAGAGTTGCATCCCTTAGGCGTGCCAGGAACTTAGGATTGTGGGTTAAAATCATGTATTCACCCTATATATGTTTCTAGAGTTGTCAGCATAATGGGCTGGTAAATGTCTAAGACCTGGGCTGACACTGTAATATATTCCAATATTGTTAAAAAAATGAATAAGAATAGAATCTTAAATCACATTTATGCAGATACCATGAGACTGTTAACTACTGATTGTATCAAAACATGAATGGGCAATAATTTCTTTGAAATACATGGCAAGTTAGTGCCATTTTGTTTTGACACTTCCTGATTCTGTTAGATATAGACACCGTGTCTTTGACATAAATGAGTGCCGTGGTCATTAATGAGCCTTTTCTCATGAGGCTTGACTTGACATATACTTCTAGAAGATCAGGAATAGAGCAAGGAAGAGTTTCTTCCTTACATCTCACCAGGTCAGAGGAATGAGGGGGTGAATGGGGATTAACTCTTCTTGTGGCATTATTAAGGTCTAGTGGGGATTCCAGGTTAGAATTTGGTCCCCTGCAACCAATGCAGGTTGTAATCGGGGGATCAGGCTTGGTGATTTGCTTGATCAATCTAGGTAATGCGGAAGGCTGCAGTGGTGGGGAGTCTTCACATTCTCCGAAAACTTCTGGGTGGGTTTGACTAGAATGTTAAGTCCCATTCGCTGTCTGGGCTGCGTGAAGAGGGGGCAAGGGCCCTGAGCTGATGATCAGCCTAACCATCCTGAATGTGCCAGGATCACCCAAACACTCTTTGCTGCATTTTTTATTTTAATCTGTACATATCATATATTTTTGTTCTTGTTGAACAATTATATTTTATTTTTTCCAGGTATGAACCCACACAAAGTGATTGTGTTATCATCATCTAGTTGATTCTTGGATTTTAGGAGTTGGACTTACTTCAATACGTTAACTCTTCGGAAGGTAAGAGAAATATTTTTCATCATTGTTGAGATGGCGAGATGTCCTACATTATATGTTATATTTCACAGCGTGATATAGCTCAGCATGGAAAAGGGGCAGTCTGGTAGCCTAGTGGTTAAAGCGTTTGCTCATCACGCCAAAGACCCAGGTTCGATATGTGAAGCCCATTTCTGGTGTCCCCCGTCGTGATATTGCTGGAATATTATTAATAGCGACATAAACCCATACTCACTCACTCAGCATGGAAAGACCCCTCCGTGGTACACTGGACAGAGTGTCTGCTCGAAGAGCAGAAGGTCAGTTGTTTGATCCCCTGGTTGTGTCATACCAAAATATGTTAAAAGATGGTACTTGTTGTTACCCTGCCTGGCACCCGGCATTACGGGGATAAAACAAGGACTGGTTGGCTCAGAGTCAGTAGAGATTCAGGTTTCCTCTGTGGGCAAGCACTATAAAACAGTTTAGAGCCCGGACTAGTTCAAGCAGAGACACACACATGTGCATGCTTGTTGCTTTATGAGTAATATCTAGAATGCAGTGTTAAACGATTTCACCTCACCTCGTCAAACGATTCCACCTCGCCTCTCCTTATATAATGTTATTCCTCAGCGTGTAATGAATGGGTCAGCACTATTTAGTTAATAACTACATCAAAAGTTGGGAAATATGATTAAACACAGAACCACAAAACTCTGAATCTCGCCTGAATTATGAAGACATAATGACGGCAATGTTTAAAAAACAGATCAGAATTTTTTTGGTACTTTTTTAAAGACATCATTGATGGGATCAGTTTGTAAAATCTCAGTGCAATAGGTCTGTAGTGTCAGAGGAGATGACAAGTGGATCACAAGTGGATGACAGACAACGTGTAACGACATAAAGTCACTTGATTTTAAGCCACAGGTGCTGAAAGTGCACGCAACCCGCCGTGAATACCTATAAAATAGCTCATAAAATAGACTCAGTCACTCATACACTAAGCACATTCTTTGTGAGCAATATTCAGTGAAGGTAGTTGATTAAGTATATTACCATAGAAATCTGTTAGTGAATAAAGAAGTTTATAAAAAAAATAGCAACAAATAATGAAATTGGTTTGATCTTAATCAAATGTTTCTTATGAGAGATAAATATTTGCAAATTATTTTTTTTCAATGTTCTGAATAGAAGACTATATTTAACAGATTTTGATGGTGTCAATTCATTGGTGCCAAACGTTGTGAACAGTTTTTGGCATAATATTTCTCCTGGTGAATGTGTCTTGACTTCTGCTGTCTAAAAGATGTTTAAAGAAAGTTTCCGATACAATCATGACAGTTTTGATCAAACACATACACATTTTTTTATCTTCCTGGTATGTGACACAACTTAATCCATTTCAAGAGTGAGAAACTATGCCATTAATGTCCAATGAAATGCGAAATCACTCAATATGTCAACAGACATGTGAAAAAATGGGTTTCTGGTATTATTTTGAATATTAATCAATTGTTCTTCCGTGTATTTTTAAGTTCTGTGATTGTTCAGCTTAAGTGTGATAGATTGGCATGATTCGATGGAAGTGATGAGTGGGAGCTCTTAAGTACATGAGCTCCTGGAGCGATGTTGTGTACGTCTACGTCTTGCTTCACAGAGATTTAGTTTCTGTCTGCAGATAAGTTGTTAGGTTTGAGATAAGTTGTTCTGTGTTGAGATAAGTTGTTCTGTGTTGAGATAAGTTGTTCTGTGTTGAGATAGGTTGTTCTGTGTTGAGATAGGTTGTTCTGTGTTGAGAAAGGTTGTTCTGTGTTGAGATAAGTTGTTCTGTGTTGAGATAAGTTGTTCTGTGTTGAAATAAGTTGTTCTGTGTTGAGATAAGTTGTTCTGTGTTGAGATAGGTTGTTCTGTGTTGAGATAGGTTGTTCTGTGTTGAGATAGGTTGTTCTGTGTTGAGATAAGTTGTTCTAGGTTGATCCGTTGTTCTGTGTTGAGATAAGTTGTTCTGTGTTGAAATAAGTTGTTCTGTGTTGAGATAGGTTGTTCTGTGTTGAGATAAGTTGTTCTGTGCTGAGATAAGTTGTTCTGTTGAGATAAGTTGTTCTGTGTTGAGATAGGTTGTTCTGTGTTGAGATAAGTTGTTCTGTGTTGAGATAAGTTGTTCTGTGTTGAGATAAGTTGCTTAGGTTGAGATAGGTTGTTCTGTGTTGAGATAAGTTGTTCTGTGTTGAGATAAGTTGTTCTGTGTTGAGATAAGTTGTTCTGTGTTGAGAGAAGTTGTTCTAGGTTGATCGGTTGTTCTGTGTTGAGATAAGTTTTTACTGGTACTTGTTGTTACCCTGCCTGGCACTCAACATTAATTGGCTAAAACAAGGACTGGACTAGTACAAGCAGCCACACACACACACACACACACACACACACACATACACACACACACACACACACACACACACACACACACACACACACACACACACACACACACACACACACACACGTGCATACATGTCGCTATATAAGTGCAATAATCTTGGACATGATGTTAAAAAACCCATTTCACCTCACCTTATAATAGGCAAATCTAGACATCTAAGAATGCCAGTCTTTTATGGGGACCACTTGTTCTTGTAATCTAGAAATTATCATTTAAACAAATAATTATTGCCTTAGACACAAGTCTGAGGATCTGACTCAGCTCCTAGATGTTGGCATCCATTAGTCTGTCTTACAGACCCTGATACAAATATATATCAAATACAGCCCATGCAAGTCTATAATGTTTGGCAAGTCTAGATCACTGCAGTATCAGGATGAAGAGAGTCACTGGGCTCCTTTTTACTATATTTTTATTAAGATAACTGAACAACTGTTTTTTTTATGTACGATATGTTCATTTCAGAGACTAGATTTTAGTCTAGACATCCATGTGTACAGGCCCTTAGGGTTTTTACAGTGCTGACCAGAAACCAGGCGATGTGCTATGGACCTGGCATCCACTTCCTGGTTCTCAGCTGACAGGTGCAGTGTACATCAAGACGAACACCATCACCGCCAACCAGCTACTGATATTGACAACTCTCTACCAGTATGTTCACAGCTTCCTTCATGTTTCGTCAAACGATTCAGGATGCTTGGAGCGTCTTTAATTTTCAAAGCGATAAATTAAATGGTGTAAGATGTGTGTTGGAACCAGGTTACTTCCCTTAGCCTTTTCTCGAACCACTACGATCTACCTACAGGGATCAGTCCAGTCAATGGATTGAAGTGAGTGACTTGGGTTAACATCGCTTTGAACAGTATTTCCCCCCAAAAAAAAAATTTAAAAAAAAATAAAAAAAATTATCAGATTGTCAAACTTAAATTTTGTGTAGTTTCTTGTATATAATAAAATTTGAGTTAGACAAAGTAGGCTTTCTGAATGCCTTGTATGAAACTTACTGGGATCACAATCATAGTAAAGTAATTAAAACATGTAATGTACAAATGTGTCTGTCAATATGACCGAATTTTGACTGATTGTTTGTTAACTTTAACACACACACACACGCTCCCCCTCCCACACACACACTCCAAAAGAAAAAGCACATATGATAGTAGGAGTCAGTATGTAGTTGTAGTACCGGTAAGTTAATACCTATCAACAGTCTAGTGTGAAACCAATATTCAGCCTCACGGAAGGAGTCAAGACCTCACCGAAATTCAGAATTGTGCCCTAGGGGATATGTGTCAAGGTTGTAATGGAACAATTTTTATCAGTACTGGGAACAGACAGGCTTGACGACCACCATCACCATATCATGCAGGCATCGTTCAGCTGCATCTCTCGCACATCCTTGTCAGGTTTCGGAACCATCTTGGTCCAAGTTATTCTCTAAACTCGGCTTGTTGTGATGGATCACTGTCGTATCGTCTGGGCAGTTTCCTCACCACGCACATTGTTGTGTATGGAGTAGTGCTGGTTGTAGGATAGACTAACTCTAGGCTCCGCAATGAACATATTTTACAGCAAAAAAATTGTTAAAAGGACCCCAAAGACTCTCTTCATTTCCTGAAACTGCAGTAATCTAGACTTGCCCACTATTATAGACTTGCATGGGCTGTATTAGATATATTTGTTTCAGGGTCTGTGGGACAGACACATGAAAACTCTTATCTCCTCGTTTGACCGAGACTATAATCCATTTCAGGGCTAAATGCAGCTCAGTTGTCAGATTAAAATTACTCTTATTTGAAGTGTATTTTTGCACGATTTTTGTCCATAATCATGAATTTTATGTGTCTAGTCTATGTTGTGTTACACGAGAGCTGAGCGTCCAATGAGATGTCTAAGTTACAAGGATATCATTTATGTTGCTATTATTATTTTTCAGATGCCTTTGTGTTTTAAGTCTTTTTGAGTACCTGGTAAGAGATATTTGTGCTTTGGAGTTGTTAGAGTTTTTCAATTGCAAGGTAGGATAAAACAACTGTTTGTCCAATCTCATTATATCCGATCTTAGATCTCGACCGCAAAACAAAGATCTGAAGACACGCCATTACGGGTCGATGCGTCATGACAACATGGAACCAAGAAGAATAAAAGAAACAACAGAATGATATATGCAGTGCATGTGCCTATAGTAAAAATCATTTCTAATGCTATGCTCATCAGGAACATGGATCTTGCAACCAATTTGGGAAGAATGTTGCATAAACAGTTTCTTTGGATTCATTTGAGTTTTTCAAATGGATGATTATGTGGTTTGTACGAACTGAAGTTATATACTGTCACTGGACACAAGATCAGCTTTCTCTAAAAAATTCTGTGAGACAGATTCCGTGTTCAATAGAACTTTGTTTCATTTGAGTTTTTGCCAATTTCTTTGACAAGTCCAAAAGTCATTATTGTTCTTGCCCATTCTTGTTATTAGAAATATGCTGTCAAGTGAATTCCATAAAAATATTTCCTTCTAAATGTTTATATTAATTGTTCTTCCTTCAACACCATTTTTTTGCCAAAAATTAAACTAACTCAGAAT